TTTTTTTTTGCATGATTTGTTCAGGGGAATTTGCCATTGCCTTTTCCTGAGGTTAAGAGAGTCTGGCTTGCCCAAGATGGGTTTCCATAGCCAAGCAGGGATTTGAACCTTGGCCTCCAGAGTTGTAGTCTAACGCTCAAACCACACTGGCTCTGATTATTCAACTGTTGGACAGATTATCTGTTGGACTATGGGGAAGGGTAACTTTTTGATTCCACAGGCTCCTCTCACCCACATCCACCAAAGTGACATATGTTGCACTTTGCCACTGTGCTGCCAAATTTGGTGGAAAACTGCAGCACCAGACTTGGGTGACAAACTGCTAAAGACCACTGAAGCATGGAGGAAATATTTGTTTTAATGGGGGAGGGTTTCCTGATTTGCTGCCACATTTTACTGTACATTTTAATCATGTTTAAATGTTTGTCAGTGAGTTCAGCAGAACAATTTGCCACCAAATTTCAATGGTGCAGGTTTTGTGGGGAGATGGAATATGTCAAAACAAACATAGGGATGGTATTTGTAGTCTCTGTGTTGCACTATTTCTGTGTTGCCCAGAGCAACTCTAAAGCAACTCCTTTGCTCAATTCAATATAGAAAAGAGTAATTTCAGAATGAAATTAGGGAAAGGGCCCTGGGTAATTTGGGAGTTGTGTGACTTTCTCCATTCCATCTTAGGTTACATTATCATGCAAACAACAGCTGGCAATTATCCCAGTCTGCAAGAATGGCTGGAATTCAGAATTCAATCAAAGCATTAATTTGAAAGTAACTGAAGCCAGTGGGAAAAGATGTGTGCTCTCTTTTCTCGGGAAAGGAGGTGTCCCTCCTTGAGTTAAGCATCATATTTTGATATGGGTCACCTAGGTTCCAAACTCTTTGTTCACATACCAAGGGAGTCCTAGGCTTAGTACCTCTATAGCTCTGTTGCAGGGCCACTGCTGAGTGGTAGACTGTATGCTTTCATTGCAGAAGGACTCACATTCAAGTGGCAACTATTCGACAGATGGCCTTCCTCCTGTGAGGTTTCAGACCCATGTTTGTAATTTTGCAATCAAAACCTGGATCTGGAACATATAAGTAAAAGCCAGGTGGGGGAGGATTTCAGGAGAAGTGATGGACAAGGGAATTAGCTAAATTAAAGTGGAAATGATGTTTCTGAAACTAGTCACATACAGGTGTCCCCACATTTATTTGACAGGTTAGGGACCAGAGCAACAGAAATCATTGAAATGTGGAACCCAGTCTTTAAGATGGCCAAGACTGCAACGCTACTATGAGTGTGAGAAACAGGCCCTCATAGTTAGAATGCATGGAATGAGCAAAGAGGAGGAGGAGGAGTGAGGGATAGTTGAGGGGGTTCATAGGATAAGGGAGGGGGGAGTTTCCAAATGAAATACGCTTTCATGAAGCTCACAACAAGAATCCATCCGCTTTTTCATGAGGGCATTTCTGACTGGGTGAGGTTTTGAGAGGGATGGGATGGACAGAGTGGAGGAGAGAAGTAGTGCTAGTTGCTGTTGAATGAGCAAATTTTCAAAAAGCAGATTGTCGAAAAGCACAGGACACCTGTACTTGTTGCCAACAAATGAGGGAATGTATTGCTGTTCTGAGCAGAAGCTATTTTCACACTAAAGAGAAAGGACTGCTGTCTTTCTCTGCTGTCAAACCAGGGGTGTAGCTGGGGAGCGCAGTTTGTTTTTTTTGGTTTGTTTTTTTTTACTCCCTAAATAAAAAATTCCCTTCCCAACCCCATGAAATTTTCATCCAGGGTGCATCTACACTGTAGAAATAATGCAGCTCAACACCACTTTAAGTGCCATTCCTCCATCCTACAGAATTCTAAGATTTGTGAGGCACCAGCACTCTGGCAGAGAATGCTAAAGACCTTTTAAAACTAAAAATCCCAGGATTCCATTGGATGGAGCTGCAGCATTGGTGTCAAGCTGCATTATTTCTACATTGTAGATGCATCTCTACTCTTTCTTAGCAAAATGTTAACTTACCAGAAGGAAGGGGGAGAAGGAAGGTGTGTCAGTGTGTAGCCCCTGTGTATAACCCTCCTTTTTAAAAAATGATTTCTCTCAAAGGGATTGTGAAAAGTCCCCATCCCCATTTTGACTCAGTCCTGGAGAAGATAGCATGAGGAAATATTGGCAAGGGTGATTGGGTTCACTGTAAGGACTCTTGAAAGATGGCTACATTGTGTTGCACATTTAGAAACATTTGAAGCAAGGAGATATGACACAATCTTCTGGGTGCTCCTGAAAAACTTGCCCATAAATCTACATGAACAGCAACTAGTAAGATGAAAGTCTTCTGTGAGACAGAATGTTCTTAGTTAAATTTAGTACTTTTTTGCTTAAGTCACAAATTATTACTCAGCCTTCAAAAATGTTTAGAATATGCCATTAATAATCAGCTTAAAGGAAACAAGGGCCACGCAAGCATAGAATCTGAGAGGAAACCTGATATGTTCCCCATATGTGAATTAAATAGCATCTGCTGGTAGATCTATTTAAAATGACCTGAATAAAAAGATCACAATTCCAAGGAAGCATAAGGTTGGTAATACCATTTCCATTTCATCTTTCCTAGGCAGATTTGCTTGGAATGTTAATTGGAAGATTTGCATTTCAGGCTCCTATTTAAGTGCTTCCCCAAAGAAAATTGAAATACCACACCACTTGCTGCCTTTCTTTTCATTTCATTTTCCTGCTATATCACTTCCACAAATCATACTGAGGATGTGTCCACATTTTTCTCTATTATGGTGACCACTTCTTTAGTTATTCTTGTGAATTTTCAGCTAGATAATTGAATTCTGACCAACAATTGAATACCCATTTTTGTCCCAGGTGGCTTTCAAAAGTCCTGTAATCTAGTGAATTTGCTGGAGCCTCTGCAATTGTGTAGCACCATTCTTTCTGGCTAATGAAGTAGCATCATGGTCTCTCTTGGTTTTGGAGGCACATCTTGTGATATATTTGAGCATGCTGTATAATTTCTCCTCTTGCCAATACCTTTCTGGCCTATCCATTGTTTTCCATTTTGCCATCCTTCCCTCACAAACTTTCTAGAACTGAATGCTATTAGTGTTTCAAATCAAAAATATCAGATGAATTTGACATTTATAGCACAATTCTGAAGCTAAGTATGACTGTCATGGGGAGGGGCAGAGAAGCATCAAGTTCACTTTTTTCCAGATTGAAATATGTAGTAAAGTGTGCCTGTGCCATACATGGGCCTGCCATCTGCGGACTTGAGCTCATATGAATGGCAAGCCCTGGGCATTACAATGGCATATGCGCTGCACCACATGCAGGATCGTGCAGCCATAGGGAAAAATGGGACTTGAGGTCATTTTTTTTTGCCTTATGTGGAGGGGGTGGTGGGTAGCGGAATGGATCCCCTGCATATACCAAGGGGGTACTGTATGCCCTTGTGTACACATACTGCTATTGGTAAAATAAGTCAAGAGCCAGACCACTAGAGTTTCAAGGAAAAAGGAAAAGAGGGGAAGAGAGGGAAACAGAGAGGTAAAATAGAGCCAGTGTGCTGTGGTGGTTTAGGCATTGCACTACTACTCTGGAGATCAGGGTTCAAATCCTCGCTCAGCCATGGAAACCCACTGGGTGACCTTGGATAAGTCACACCCTCTCAGCCTTAGAGGAAGGCAAAGGCAAACCCCCTCTGAATAAACCTTACCAAGAAAACTCCATGATAGGGTTGCAATAGAGTGCCATAAATTGGAAAGAACTTGAGGGCACACACAACAACAACAAACAACATAGAGACTTATTATTATTATTATCATTATTATTATTATTATTATTATTATTATTATCCCTCCCTTTTTCCAGTCTGGGATACAAAAAGCTTGCAAAAGTTAAAGCAGATACAACTTAAAATTAGCATCATGCAAAAGTTATAATTAAACTATCAATAAAAGTAAAACAATTAAAAAGAACAACAGCTAATATACACAGCACATAAAATACAAGTAATATAAGCAACTCAATACGTGAAAAAGCCTTTACCTCTAAGCAGTCAGCCCTCAAAGGCTTGCTGAATCAAAAAGGCCTTCGCCCACCTATGAAAGAGTGCACCATTTCTACCTCTCTAGGAAAGGCGTTTCGGAGCAGCCATAGAGAAATTTCCATGTTCCACCAGATGAACCTGTGGTAGGATAGAGAGAAGAGCCTCTCCAGACAATCTCAAGACACAGACAGGGTCATAGAGGGATCTATGGCCCTTCATATAATCTGGACTTGAGCCAGTTAGGGCATTGTAGGCCATAATCAGCACTATGAATTGTGCCCGTCTCCATTTTGCCACACTTTACCTTTATTGATGGAACAGCAGCAGGTTAGGTCAATTTAAAAGCAAACGGTATGGGCATGTGGATTGGTTTCAACAGCATCATCTGTCAAGAATGGCAGCAGCACAGAGAGTGACTTTACCTTCCTCCTTGAGCAGTGAACAAAATTACATTCTTCACAGGAATGGAGATTGCCAACAGAACGCCTCTTCATAGGAGTAGGGCAACAGAAGTATACTCTATTATAAAGGATCATATATATTAAGTCCTATTCATGGGGAGAAGGAGGGTTATAAATAAATTAACGGCAACAGCAACACCAACAAAAATTGTAATAACATATTACATATTTATGCCTCAATGTCACTGTTTTGCTTCAGGTAGTAAAATGTGTTAGCCCTCATTGGAACATTTTGAAGGGAGTCAGAAGTAGCATTTAAATGCTACTTACTTTGAGGAATGGAAGGAAAAAGTCTACTCTACTGCATGTTGGCAGTATCCCCAAACCCTGGACATGTGGCTTATAATTCCCATTCAAAATGCTTGAGGCAGAGCTGGACCACCACATTTTGCTGGTAGAAGTTAAAATGAATAGCACCCAAAGCTACTTACATACTCTTAGACCATGAAGCAGAAAATCACAAAAGCATTTCATCCCCGGTTCAATAACATTTGCAGGGCCACATGTCCTCCACCTCTGGTGTGGCATCAATGCTAAAACACCAAGAATTCAACAGCGTTCCCATTTTGAATATAAACTTATAAGTGTAAAGATTCAGACAACAAACATGTCTCTTATGTTGTTGGAACATATACTCCTTTGAAAGCCTTTGCACCAC